TGGCGAATGTTATGCTTTGACAAGTGTAGACACCGCTCGTTCTTACGCAAAGAGATGGTTTCGTCCACCTAAAATAACCTTAGTTCTCTGTATCTTTGTTACTGGTAGATATTTAACGAGAAATGTGCACAGGAATGTTTGATTTTGAACTTTAAAAAACAGGTTCTGAGTTAATGTCGGAAACGCAACCACAAAGTCGATATTCAGCTGAAAATTGAATGATGTTTGTTTTCTTTGCTCTGTGTCAAAGTAATCTGGTCGTTGATTTAAAATGATTATCATCTTTACTCGCTCAACCGTTCAAAAATTTGCCACAGCTGTTCGGCCGTTCACCGTCAGCCGTTCAAAATTTTTCTACAGCCGTTCAGCCGTTCACTGTCAGCCGTTCAAAACTTTTCCTCAGCTGTTTACCGTGAGCCGTGAGCCGTTCAAAAATTTTCAACAGCCGTTCAGCCGTTCACTTTGGACCGTTCAAAAATTTTTTTCAGCCGTTCAGCTGTTCACTTTGAGCCGTTCAAAATTTTTCTTCGGCCGTTCAGCCGTTCATGTTAGCCGTTTCAATCACCTTGGCCATCCGTTTGTCATCCGTTCACTAGCCGTGCGTTTTGCCGTTGCAACGGATAGCCGTTAGTGTACGTTTTCGCGTGAGAGGTCACATATGTTCACTGAGAGATGTACAATTTTACATGAATGCTACTTACTGAGATATTTGATATTCATAATAATTTATTTCAAAATTATTTTTTAGGTGGGATCTGATGTGTATCTTTGTTACAGAAAGTCATTAGCAAGACCGCGCTCCATCATGTACCCTGCAGGTAACAGTGCATGCACTTCATGGCTCACCTCCCAAAACTGGAAACTTAATTTAGTTTGTCACTGCTATTCAAATGCTTCTGTTTGATAACTTCATTTACAAATTTGCTATGATGAACTGGACACCTTCCAAATGAAGCTTGAGGCACTTTACCTAGTCCAGATGGAACCTGTTTTAGGGAAAATTGACTGGAAATGTAGTTAATTGACTGGAAATGGACCACTCTGCCCCTTTATTCACCAAACTAGGAATTTTAGATATTTTCCAAGTCAATATGTTTGAAATCGCTAAATTTATGTTTTATTTCAAAAATAACTTATTGCCCTCCTTTGCTTCTCTATCTTTTTGTAAGGAATAGCCAAATTCACAACTATGGTACCAGAACAGCCAGTAATTATCGAACGCATTTGTGCCGTACAAATGTCAAGCAGTTTACAATTCTTTACCAAGGTCCTAGAATTTGGAACTCTCTCCCTATTTCAGTCATTCGTTCGTCAAACTTTCTCAGCTTTAAAGCGAAATTGCAAGAGTTTTTACTTAAATAATCACTGAATTGGCCAAGCCGCACATTCGCAGCACTTTTTCTTTACTTAATTTATTATTGTGAGTGAGGTGGCTCTCCCATAAGCCTGGTGGCTTATTGGGTCTCCTTGCCTTCTGTAATTAACTATTTTTAATTGTTAAAAAAGGGCAAATAAAGATGATGATGATGATTAAACTTCTGCTATGATTAACTAGACACCTCCCAAATGAAGCTTTTCCCAGTCCAGATAGAACCACTTTTTGAGACAATTGAGTGCAATTCCATGTTGTACTTGTCTTGAAAAAAGTGTTTGTTTCATCATTATCTTTCAGAGGTTCTCAGTCGATTCCCTGTGGAAGACTATGAAGGTTTTCCTCTTCCAGATACAATCCCAATGTTTTGTCTTCCTCAAGGAGCAATTATTGAGTGCTGGCCAGAAAACTCGCAATATCCCCTTCCCTCTTTCTCCACATTTGTACTCACAGGTGCTTCAGGACAAAAGGTTTGTTGTTTTAGCAATTTTCTGGAATATCTGGAACAAGGGTGAATTTTGAAAAATGCCCCAAGGGAAATAGCAAGAAAGGGAATTTTTCAGGTTAAGGATTTGAGCTGTAAGCTTATTTCAGTTTCATCAGGATTACATTTTAAAGAATTATAAAAAACACAAGGCAAACATGTCGTTGCTAGAGAAACCTTTAACTCTCTCATGAGTTCCCATTTGTGACCAAGACAGAATTTCTCCTTACCATATCAATACATTATCAAGCAGACAAGCAATGGGAATACAGAAAAACATCAATTAAGGGATAACTAGTTGATCCAGTACCAAATTCTCTGAACTATTGTTATAAGAATTATATACAGCAGACAATAAGGAGAATTACTATTGAGATCTTGGCAGTAATAGGGATAACTTAATAATTTTCCCTGTCAGCCGCTGTGTATTTCATCAACAAAAATGAACTCTTTCACTCCTAATATCTGATTATGGATTCTCCCTCCCCTCTAGCTGCTACACATTTCCTTGTAAATTGGTTACGAGAATTTGGTGTTCAATCAAGGTATCAACTTCTACCTGATTAGTTTGAGTATTCTCATTACCTGTTTGCTGGATCATGTATGGATATTATAGGGAGAAGTTACAGGTTAATCACTTCTGGAAGTTAAAGAGTTCACCCTTTTACTCCAATTTGCTGTAATTTGTGGAATGTGCACAGCAATTATAATCAGTAAATTAGCCACGAGGATTGATAATTACTATAAAGATATGAAATTTTATTTCATTTAAGATTTATGGAGCAGCGGTGACATTCTTTGAACTGCTTCCTGAGGAGCAACTAACAGAGGCAAGAAAAAAAGCTTTAAAGCTGGATGATGATGATGAAGTAAGAGTTGAGCTTTTTTAGGGGCTAGCTTTCACTGAGCTTAAAATAATGTTAATAAATGTAATTAATTCAAACCAGACACCATAATGTCTTAATCATGAAAGGACTGTAAGGTCTTGAGAAAATGCTGCACTGAATTCCATGGGTGCTTCTGAGTTAGAGGTATCAGTAGAAAGCTATAGAAAAACCACACCTGTCACGTTGTAGTTTTAAATCAATATTATAGGTTAGAATTCTAGTTTGAAAACAGCCAATAACTGTTTTGATTTTTCTTGCTCACAATCCTTTATTCCCTGTTACATGTATGACAACAAATTTTAACTTTATTTTTTATGATTTCACAATGATTTGTTCATCCAGTGGAGGTTACCTCTAAGAAATACAGTGTTAAGAGAATGGTTGAAAGTTGTAGGAAAATAATCCTCCCTTTCTAAATGAAAGGCCATTGAAAGTTAGTAGAGGAATTCTGCATGGAAGGCAGATAATTCTTCTATCTGCAATCATAGATGAACTCCTTGATCAAGCATTCCAAGTTAAACTAGATCTACTCACTGTTTGCTGTTTCCAGAATTCAGAAGAAGGGAAGAGAGTTGCTCATACGAACAAGTGCATGTGTGTGTTGTCACACTGGCCATTTTTTGAAGCTTTCAAAAAGTTCCTGTCCCAGTTGTATAGAATTTCTCTATCAGCACAGCCACTCCCCATTGAAAGGTATCTCAGAATACTTTTGCAATTCATTGGACATAATACTGTAATTAGTAAATTCTGTGGTGTTAAGTGTTACAGTGGAAATCAAGGGATGTTTGAATTAATTATGGAAGTGAATGAAAGTGCGATTGATGAAAATAACATTATGCCAGTTGCATATATATTACTTTTATCAATTAATATGCAGTAGTGCATTAAAATATGAATAATTTCTTTGCTCTCTTAAAATTAATTTTGAATACTTAAATTCAACGCATTAAGGATACAAAGTGACTGACTGGTGTATATTTCTTTGTCATTTAGGTATATTGCAATTTTGATGCTTGATGTTCCTTTTCCTTCTCCTCAAAGACCAAGAATTCTTGTGCAGGTATTTTATCAGTTAATGTCCAATGGTCTTTGTTTTCAGCATTATTCTGTACCTTTACCTCTTAATTAGTTAAATCAGCAGACATGATCAATAAATGGGCAAGCAAATAGGCAGCAACAACTACCAGGTCCCCCCCCCTTTGCATGGGTTAAGATCAACCAGCAGGCAAACAATTTTTTTCTTTCTAGGCAAGGAACTCCTAATTGCAAGATGTGGAAATAAATTACTCGTAAAAATTGCAAAACCCCAAAGAGCAGAGTGATGTAATTCAGAGGACCAGACATGACTTGTTTCCTGTACCAAAATTTTAACTGTCAGTTAAAATATTCAATGAATATTTTTTACTTTGTTTCTATAGACAAGCATGTATGATCCATTTGAAATCAGCCAGCTCTCTCACACTCCTTTGCCAGTCAGGTAATATGGATAAGAATTACTGAGATTTTCATCAAAGCTGACCTAATCTTTCTTGACTTAATTGTCTTTACCACTAAAATATTTGCAAAGGGGTAGAATAATATTATATATAATTCAATGCTTATATCAACAATGCTGTGATACAAGTATGTACACTGTTGGGATGTTGCTCTGATGACAAAATGTCAGTGAAGTCGCAGAATTAGTATTATGGTGATAACATTTTGGTATTTGTACTGTTTTTAGTACCCAGTGAGAAAGTGGTCACTTAAGCATCTTTTTAACTCTTTATGGTAGCCAATTTACAATTTCAACTTAGGTGATATTACCAAATTACTGAGTTAACATTAGCCAACTGGGAGCTGGTCATATAATGTTGGTTCGTAATAAGCCTGTGAAGTGACGAGTCGACGTTTGCAAATATATGAAAATCATATATGGTTGTTATAATTATAAAATAATTCTGCTAGTCAGCACCGTAGGAAAATGTCTAGAACAGTACAGGCAATATGTCTACTGGTGATAGGAGACATTCAGGGTTATTCTTAGATATTTTTTAAAGTGCATGTTTGTGTTCTTAGTTGATGTTCCCGGTACTTTAAATTGTTCATTTCAGTGGTGCATCTTACATAGCTATGCTTCGTTACCTGCATTCAGACAATGCCATGCTGTTGTTCTATCTTGTTCTCACTGAACACAAAATTCTGATCCACTCTCTGCGACCACCTCTGATGACAAGTATTGCTGAGGCAATTACAACAGTAAGCTGTGATTATTGTA